TGGAAGTAGCACGAGTTTGTGACAAAAAAGACAGTTGAACAGGTTTTAGAAATTTGTTTGTCGAGTGTACTTGCCGTTACGAATGACTCGAAAGAATGATCGGTACAATACACATATGTACTACAACGGTGGCGACCGTTCTAATGATATTGCAAGAAAAACACGAAGAAACGGTTCGCGTGGCGACCGTTACCCGAGAGCGAAACAGTTTTCTGTTTATCGCATTGATAGTTTTTCTGCTAAACGAGAACAATTTAAAATGAGTCAAACAAATTCCTCTAACAGTAATATAAAGCTTTTTAGATTGCATGTCGTCTGAACCTAAACGAGAAAATAATGGTACTTATCAGACTGCGAATTTTATGGATTTATGTAAAATTGTATATACGAAAAATGAGAAATGTATAAAATTTCATAATAAAAGTTTAATATAATAATTTTTGAAGAAGGAAAGACATTCTTTAAATTGATTTTATATAACTTTTATTCTGTACAAAACTATCTAATTTAATTATTACATGAATTGTTACATTATCCTTAGAATTATTCCATAATACATTTAATATATAATTATTTCTTCGGATAGATCTTATTTAAGGTCATTATCAAGTTCCAATGCTCGTTCTTGTTACCTTGGAATCTGTAGAAATCTAAAGGAAATATATCTTGAATTGATTCTGCACAATTGAATTGGTTTCCTCTTCTCAAGGATCCCATGGTTAATTCTTGCAATGTCAATCAAAACCGAACAATGTGTTATTGTAGTCGCGCGATTCTGAGATTTCTTTAGCTTCAATAAACATCTTCGCAGTCGTCTTAAAACTATAATAGACGACGGGGCATTAATGATTAATTTGGAGATTATTATAACGGGTCGAAAGCAGAATGTACGGAGATAAAAGGCGGGGGATAAAGGAGCGTACAAAGCAGAGTAAATAAAGAGTAGATCTGAAAAGGCGATGCAAATCGCGGTTCTGAAACGGTGCAGGTGTTCTCTTCCTACTACGCTCCTTTTTTTTCTCTCTAGTTTTCCCGTTGTCGTTGGTGTTTCTTCGTGGTTACCAGCTCACCTGCAACGCACGCGAACACACACGTGTCTGACGAACATATACACATACGCACGGACGTACAAATACATATATCTATATACATACGTGCATACAAATGTACGTACACATGTATATGCAAGCGTATATGCATATGGACGCACATGCATCCGAGTACACTACACAGGTAGCACGCATGGTTGAGTTGCTTAAGTGCTCTCGACTCTGCTCTTTGCTTCTTTTCGATCCATCTACCCACCCCTTCGCCCTTTCTTTCCTTCTTTTGTAGTTTCTTTCTGCCCAACGTATTTTCTCACGGACAGGTCTCTAGCAGGTGACACTTTCGTACTTAGTTTCTGGGTTAACAATTCTACCTGTTATACATGCTAAACCAATTAATTTCATTCGTATATTTCACTATAAACGTAGTATTTTATATAAATAGAGACAATTTGTATTCGATCTTTTTTACAAAATAGGAGGCAAAGATTTCAGTCATACAAGAATATCATAAAATCAGTTTATGTTATCAAAACATATTGCGAGTGAATTTATTATGTGACGAACTTAAATGCATTTTCGTCAGGCATTTATATTCAATCTTTTTTACAAAATAGAAGGCAGAGGTTTCAGTCATACAAGACGAGTCAATAAGGAATACTATAAAATCAGTTTTTATCAAAACATATTGTGAGTGAATTTATTATGTGATAAACTTAAATGCATTTTCGTCAGGCATTTGTATTCGATCTTTTTTATAAAATAGAAGGCAGAGGTTTCAGTCATACAAGACGAGTCAATAAGGAATACTATAAAATCAGTTTTTATCAAAACATATTGTGAGTGAATTTATTATGTGACAAACTTGAATGCATTTTCGTCAGGCTTTACAACGAAATTCATCACCAGATATAATTCAAAGTATTTGTTACTGGCTCTGTATTTCGTATAACAGAACTATTAAGAATGGCAGAATCGATGCGAGGGAGATAAAGCAGTCGATGGCAACAAGTAGTTAGATATTCGTCGAACGCCTGCCTGAGTCTGGGTATGAGCGCGGAATAAATTATCTTATTATCCTGTCTGCCTGTCGCGTCGCGTCAGTCGTCCTTCTCCTCTGCCTCTTTCTCCATCTCTCCACTTTTTTCTCTTACGCATCAGCAATCCTTCTTGCTCAGGACACTCCTCCCACTACTGTCTCTTACAAGCTGTTTCCAAACTCGCGTATTCAACCGACTGAAAAAAGAGATTCAATGCTCGTAGACGAAAATCAAGATATATTTAATAAAATGACGACTTTTCTTATTAAATAATCAGATATTTGTACTATAATTATATCGAATGAAATTCCGTTCACCTGAATTTCACTTGTTAGAATTTAATTTAGTGATCAATTGATCTCAATTCTACAAGCCTGTACCGGCACCGAAATCGGCACCGACCACTCAGAATAATAACAACCAAAGCTTGCAACAACAGGAACCGAGGGCGGTTGGCCTAGAGGGTAACGTGGCCGGGCTGGAATCGAAGCAGAACCGGGTTCGAGATTCCGGGCACAATATTGCACCGGAATACAGGATGCCACCGCTCTACGGGGAAGAGCAGAGCTCGAATCAGACTCAGCAGGCCAGCTTGCAGACTCACAGCAGCAAATTTCCGGTGAGACTCAGTACATGCATTTCAATTTTCCATCCCCTCCTTCAGTTACGCGGTGGAATTTCATTTATTGCAATGAAATTTCGAACAATCGAGGTATAGTGATTGGAATTATTGTATTGTACTCCTGTTCATCAAAATGTAATACGAAACTGGATTCCTGGTATAATTTTATATAAAGTATCTATAAAAAAATTGATATTAATTATTTTACATGAAAATCCGAAATATATGAATACATTTTTATATTTTATTTTTATATATTATTATATTTTATATTTTATGTATGATTTTCAACTACTGATTCATCCTGTATATTAATCTGCTGTTAACTTGACGTGCAACTTGCACGCTGAGTAGGTATTCACAGAACTACTGGATTGAAACAAGTAGATTCCATTAGCTAAAGTCTAGTCGATCGAATTCAAAAATTTCGTTCAGATAAGTGAAGTTTAAATAAAGCCTCTACACTACACACCAGATGGTTCCCTATACGGCGACTGGTCTCGGAGTCCGATGAAAAACTGCGTTAGAACCCAAGACGTAGCGCTTTATTCGGTATACGATATCCGCGTCGACTTTCTAGTTTCGTTTCTTTTATTCTTTACTTTTTACCAGCGATTCTTCTTTAATTGCCATTTTCTCTACCAAGTTCACGGCCGAATCTCATAAAACTGTTTCCTATTTAAAACCTGTCCTGCTCTATATTAGGCTTCATAATTATCACGAACAAAAAGTAGTAACATGACACAATTATCTCTTAAGAATTCCAATAAAATTTTTCCACCTCATAAACTATTAATTCGTCCAT